TGTGGATTGGTCTTGCTAGCGGTTCGCCCCCAGCTTGTAGCATTTCCGCTGCTATTCCGTCTGATCCTGGGCTCTTATTTCTTTTTAATGAGCTTATCGCTGCTTGTACTTCTGAGTACAAGATATCTTGGGGGCCCTCGTTTTCAGGAGGTGCAATGTCTTCAAGCTCTTTCACCGCCCTATCCCCACCTCCAGGATCTTTATACAGACTGCTGCAATACTGTGTCCACCTTTGTTTAATTTCGTCATTTGACTGTAACATTGTCCCCTCTTGACTTCGTATGACATTTAATCTAGGTACAAATTCTTTTCGTAGCATTTTTATGAGGCTATATGCTTCTCTTGTATTCCCAATATTTAGACCTCTTTCAGCTTGCTCGCATTGGTCTTGGATCCAATGTTCTTTGTCTTGTCTTGCTGCTCTCTTAACTTTCCTGCATAGATCTTTATATTGTTGTGTATATTCCGAGAAAACGTCTTTTAGCAGTTTTAGTTTGCGTTTTTCATCAGCTAGTTTTAGTGTTTCTTCAGAAATCCATGGCTTTTTGGTTATTCTTTTTGTTGGTACAGTTGTCTCTGTTGTGGTTTTGATAGCCTGCTCTATCTTTGTGGCATGCTCTTCCAGACTGCACGTTGGCTCTATCTCTTTAAGCTGTTTTGCTAGAGCGGTGCTATATGATTGCTTGATTTTCTCATCTCTCAGTCGGTTCACATCAACTCTATAGCCCTTTTGTGATTTGTTATGCTGGCTCTTAAGTTTCAAGTTAATATTGCACAACACTAGTGAGTGATCTGAGCTTATGTCTGCACTCTGAAACGTTCGACAGTTGATGACCGAGGTCTTCCATCTACGCTGGATGAGTATCAAGTCAATCATATTCTTATGAATGCCATCTGGTGATGCCCACGTCCACTTTCGATTTGATTTATGTTCAAATCTTGTATTACATATGTAGAGATTGTGCACTGTAGCAAATTCTAGGAGGCGTTCTCCGCGATCGTTTCTATCGCCATAGCCATATTTTCCCATTACGGATTTCCAATCTGTATTATCATTGCCGATTTTAGCATTCCAATCTCCTGTCAGAATAAGTATATCTTTTTTATCTGTCTTTGTTAATACTTCCTCAATATCGCTGTAGAATGCTTCAATATCTTCTTCTGAAGATGAGGAAGTTGGTGCATATACGTGTATTACTGAAATTTTGAGTGGTGCTGCATCCAATCGTGCCGAAATTATTCGTGAGCTGATTGGATTGTATCCTATTAATGCCTTTTTCGCTTGAATGCTTAGTAAGAACCCCACACCCCTCATATGTGAGGATTCTTCTCCTGACCAGATGAAGTCTCCTTTCGGTGTTTCACCTTTTCCTGTCCAACGGACTTCGGAAATGCCAATTATATCGTATCTGAATCGCTTCATTTCATTTCGAAGTAATTCTAGCTTGCCAGTAGCCCATAATGTCTGCACATACCATGTTCCTACTGTTAGAGTATTTTTGGCAAGTTTTAGTTTTTGCGTGTTATTTGTCGTATATGAATTCTTTCCAGTCGTCAATTTTTTGACTCTGTCCTGGTCACTCGACAGAGGACGCGGACCTTGTTTTACCGGGCATCGTCCGAGCCGGCATAAATTATCTCTGATATCGTTCATGGTTGGTTTCTTTCGTCTTGTTCTTTTTACAGACGGCGGTATCTGCACCCCTTCCGTCCAACACTCCTCCTTTATCTGGACTTGTGACCGGCACGGAGCCCGCCGGACAGCGGTCTCCGAGGTGGAGTTGAAGACTGTTGTACTTTCGTAAATCTTTATTTGGTTTTTAACTCTAGGCTTTTTTTGGTGCACCGTAAGAAAACCGCGAGGGGGAAACAACAGAGACTTCATGCATGAAGTCTTGGAAGTCTCTCGAAATCCATGAAGTTCATTGAAGTCTCTTGCAGTCTTTTGAAGTCTTGCCTGTTGAAGTCTTTCGAAGTCTTGAGGTCCGCTGTTTCCCCTAGGACTTTGTCGTAGATTTATATTAAGGCAACGAGTGTTGTACCCCTATCCTTAAACACTGTGAATGAATAGGTTTACTACAAAACGTTCAAGATTTGATACTATTTTACCATACGAGTTTAAGTTCTGCAGTATAAAAATGGTTTTGTATTTTCATGCAGAACCTTTTTAGGTTCCAATGCCATTATTGAAAAACCATGTTATTATAAGAATCAAAACACATGTTACTTTCCTAGACATCCTAACTTTTATGAATCATCTTGCATTTTTATATATTCCCTATAACTTCATTATGATTAGAATTGATGAAAAAGATTTTAGTATATCAATTAAAAATGACTACTATTGGACGCTGACAATGAGTTCTTTGTATGAAAATTGTTAATGTAGCCAATAAGGACCATGCCGGATATCAATCAAGTGTTTGTCAAGATGTAAAATCGTCATTTTTAACGAATACAGCGTGGTGAAGAGTACCGCTACAAATTATTAAACTGAAAACCGCGAGTGTTTATGAGGATATCGCGGTTTTTTAAAACACGCCGTAACAAACCGTGTTTTACCGCGGTGTTCCTATCTAAGACCACGGTTTTTGAAAAACAATGTCTATGGGTTTACTTGAAAAAACCCTTCTTCTATCTGTATACACAAGATGAAAGAAATAATCACATATTATAGGTATACATACAAAAAAAATTCATCAACGTATTATTTCATTAACGTTGTTAAATCAAACCATTGCATATCTCATACTTTCTCCGTATTCTCTCGTCTGCGTAATACACGCAGAAAAAAAACAACGACGGCGAAAATTATTCAAGCAATCATCGTCGAAACATACTCTGCATTACAAATCATAGACGAACGCGCACATATATTTTTTATTCTTCCAAACAGCGTCGTTGAAAGTATAAACAATGAGTGATAAGCAACCTTTGTTAAAGACATCCACTACATCATCTCTTAATAATGATGATACTGGCAAAAAAAACAACAAACAAGGGATGAAAGAAAGGTATGATATAATAACAGAACTACTGATGAGAGAAATAGAATAAAACCATCATTATTGATAGTTTGGCTGATTGGTGGCGATGTTTCACTCAGGAAAAGAGTGATGATAATCTCAAACATACCGGCAAGAACAGTTCAAGTGGTGTCTTTACTTTGGTATGTATATTCAGATAGCAAAAAAACACAGTTCGAGTGTAATAGACAAATCGAAATATCATTTCGTTTTTACTAATAATTCAGTTAAAAAAATGAAACTTCCCTTTAGACTCCTCAGATAGATAAATATTCTCTCGAGAAAGATCTCAATTGTGTTTTCTGAAAAGAAAAAGATCTAGAAGTTTCACAGCTGCAAAGCTACATTGATGCAACTGTGAAGCAGAAAACTGCTCTTTAAAATATTTCTAAATTAGTCTTTTACTGATTTAGAAGGTATATATTGCAAATTTCTGGATGAAACTGTATACGTGGAAGTGTTTGATATTCATCTGAAAACATTTCTACAAAGAAAAGCTCGATGATAATGTATAGAAGTTTTTCTTTTTTATATTCTATCGTAATATCTATTTTCAATTCGAAACCTACTAAACAATCTCATCTTCTAACTACTTGATATTAGTTGTGAATGTTTTATATGTCAATGTTGTCTTTAGATATTTTGAGAAGATCTTGCTGGCACAATATGGAACACTCGCTTATTATTGTTTGTGAAGAATATGTCTTGAAATCCGGAGAGTAAAAATCCGGAGAACGAAAAATCCGGAGAATAGAAAATCCGGAAGACAAAAATCCGGAAAATAAAAATCCGGAGAATGAAAACTCCGGAAAATTTCTGATATTGTTCTAACAGAAGAGAATGATAATATTCTTTCATAAATGTTTATAATTGTCTACATCAATCATGATTATCGTCTACCGAGTGCCATTCTACTTTACTATGCTCTGCACTTCCATTAGCAAATATACACAGACGTGCACCCTGAGAGTATGGGTGTGGTGTCTATGCTTTATCCACACCCACACCATCTAACTAAAGTCAATAATCTTGCTAATAGGAATGTGACAGTTCCAGTTCGAAAGAACTGAGCCTGAGCTCTCACAGTCCTACATGCCAAACATTTCGAGAGCGCCGAGATCAATCGCGATGAGTATCTCGTGGGACTTTCTTTATTGGTGGCTACTAAAAAGTGAACCACATCACTTCACTTCGAATCAAATGATTTCTCTTCTTTCTTGTACATGGTTCTTTGTTAAATAAACTGTTGAATCTTTTTTCAAAAATTTTCCGGATTTTTTCCCCCGGATTTTTTCTTCCGATTTTTTTTCTCCGAATTTTGGGACAATACCTTTGTGAATATGTTAGATTTTGTATCAGATTTGATGGTCGAAGAAAAACAAGAGAAGTTAATAGTTGCGAGATGAAATATCAACTACCTTGTGAGATTAATTTTTCAACATTGAGACAAACTCATGGAGGAGAGAGGGAGAGTGAACATTGGTAAGATTGAGAGTCGTTTATTGACTAACAAGGGAACATATTTGAGTGTACCTACGGAGATGGAGTTTAAAAGTATTTTATCGTGTAGTGACCATGTTGAGTATCTCAAATATCGACAATTTAGCTGTCCGTTCTGAGGTCGAAAAAATAGCACTATTTCCCATTTTTGCCATATGTTATATCCTATTGTCTGATATCATGTTTTAACGAGTTATTTTTCCAAAAGCTATGGAGAACATAGGTTTTT